TTCCCAGCATCCAAGTCATCTCCTCGACCGCAGAAAGGGGAAACGGGGACAAGCTCAGCCCATCCAAATGTGACACACGGGTTTATCTTCCTGCTTCTCCCCTCCCCACACGCAGCCAGGCTGCTCCCAGTACCCCAAAAGGTTTGACAGGAGAATCTGTCCCACCCTAAGTAAAATATCTTCACAGAATCACAGAATCGTAGTGGTTGGAAGGGACCTCAGAGATCATCGAGTCCAACCACAAAAAAAACCCAACAAAACAACACAAAAAAACCGCAAAAAAAACCCCAAAAAAACCCACCACCCACCCCCTAAACACACAACAACAACCAAACCAAAAGCCATCACCCACCCACACAACATCCCACCACAAACCAATAATCTTGGGCACTAGAGCATGCCCTGAAGAGCCATCTTGGTGGCATCAAGGAGACAACGCCACCTGAGGGGCTGAGGGCACCAAGGGCCAGGAACTCTCCGCAGCAACAGGTTTAAATGGAATTAAAGCTTCGGATCGTTAATATTTAAGCAAAAAAATTTAAAATACTGAGCATTTTCTTTAAATATTTAATGGCTAATATCCTCGCTCGGATTATCAACCATGATTACAGGAAGACAGTGACTTGTTAAAAGGGTCTTTTAACCATCAGCTGCCATTGGCAAAAAAGCAGGGCCATCAGGAGGTCACTTCAGAGGGACACGGGCATTAGGTGGTGCAGACAGTGAGTCTACAGACGTCCGGGGCTCCAGGCAAGAACCCAAATTAACTCTGCCCACAGATGATAAGGACAAGCAGCATCATCCCACCCACCAGGCTTCTTCTGATAGAGATGCTCACCAGCGTTTGCAGAGGACAGGAGGGTCCGAACCCCCTCTGTGTCCCCACGTGTCCCTCCCTGGGGACTTTCTTACCTTCTCGATTCGCAGGGGACGTCCATCTTTGTTCCACTTGACCAGCGTGACCGGGGGCTCTGCCTCCACCGGGCAGCGGATGTATCCGTGTATCCCGATGGGAACGTAGATGACGGGGGGCATGTTCACCACGCGGGCAGGATCTGGGAGAGGAGCAGAACCAGGTCAGCCCAGGGAAGGGGGCCATCTCTCCCCCACCACCTGCCTTCAGAGCATCTACAGAACTACCTCTTCTTCTTCTATAACGAATCCCAAACCCCAACACCACCTCAGCTCTCACAGGCTGTTATCTCCAGGCTTGCTACACACAAATCCACCCCAATACCTGGCCTTTCGGGGAGGCTTTACTCATGCCCAGGGTGTTCCTACCTGGGGCTCATTAAAAGTTGAAGTTAAGAAACATTAAATATGCCTTTTCTCACGTCTGCACTGATCTTGCGTCCTGCTGAAGCCCAAGCTGCTCCATGTGGGATACGGGCACGGTGTGGTGCACACCCTGCAGCCCACCCTCCTGCCCCACAGCCTGGTTTTTACACCCCAGAAATGCAAAAGTTGGAACATAAGAGGTTCCACTCAAATATGAGGAGAAACTTCTTCACGGTGAGGGTGACAGAGCCCTGGAACAGGCTGCCCAGGGAGGGGGTGGAGTCCCCTTCCTTGGAGATTTTCAAGACCCGCCTGGATGCTCCTGAGTAACATGCTCTAGCTCTAGGCAATCCTGCTTCAGCAGGGGAGTTGGACTAGATGATCTCTATGGTCCCTTCCAACTCTAAAATTCAGTGAAATTCAGTGAAAAATATTTCAACTCCCAAGCCTTAAAACACAGCAACCGAGACAGGAGAAGGGATCCGAGGCCGGGATGAGCCCTTTATCTCCTGCCTGTTTGTACTCGCAGCCCAAGGCTGGGTCGTGTTGAGCATCAGCCACCTCCACCCTTTCCAACAGGATACAAAAGTTTAAAATATATACCTAACCCCCCCCCCTTCTCCCCAACTTCCCCGCGCTGCACCACCCACGCAGCGAGGCGTCTCGCAATCCTCCAGTCTAGGATGTGTCATTAACAGTGCTTCTAAGAGCTTTTTAATTAAGTGCGAGTGGGTTGGAGAGAACCTAGACTTTCTTTAATAAGAAGCTTTTCTTTCTTTTTTTTTTTTTTAAAAAAAAAGAAGTTACTTTTAATAAGAAGAGTGAGTATTTCCACAATCTCGTCTAGACACAGGCAGCACGAGGGGATGGGAAAATCCTGCCGGGGTTTACGCTGCATTAAGGGATGAAGGCATTTTTTAGGAAGGGGGTGCAGCATCCCTGCACCGCCGATGCTAGGAGGAAGGGATGGGATGGAGGATAACACGCCGAAAAAAAAGCACCACCCCAACCACCCCCTGAAACCGCGTGCCCCCCGGCAATGGCACCGTAACCCAGATTGCCCAGGCGCCGCAGATGGAGCCGGCTTTAACCTCCTCCTCCTCCCCCTGACTCCTCCTCTTAGGAAATGTAATCAAGGGAGAGGGTAATGGGATGGAGCCTTTCACTACTAGGTCACTGGCCAAGGGCCAGCCCGGCTGGCTAATGACCCAGAGCCCTGTCCCCGACCGATGGGTGGGAAGCCACCCTCCCTGAGGCCTCCATATGTGGGGGAAAAAGGGGGGTTTTGGGGCACAGAAAGCCAAGCGCAGCTCCTCGCCTCTCCTCGCAGGGCCATCTGAACAGCAGATTGTCCAAACCTCGGGGTTGGGGTTTTTGTTGTTTTTTTTTTTTTTTCCCTCTGCCATTAGAGCTATTTTTAACAGCTATCAGCCTTGACGAGCAGTCCCGGATTAGCGGCAGGGCAGATTTAATGGCCTGAAGCCACGCGCTTTCCCCAAGAAAACACATCCAAGCCCCGGAATCACGGCACCGGCACCACTCGCACCATCCATTCAAGCTCCAACAGGAAACAGGAAACATTAGGAAAAGAATTTTTCACCGAAAGAGTGGTCGGGCATTGGAACAGGCTGCCCAGGGAGGTGGTGGAGTCACCATCCCTGGCTGTGTTTAAGGGATGTTTAGATGGGGTACTGAGGGATATGGTGTAGGGGAGGACTTTGTAGAGTAGGGTAGATGGTTGGACTCGATGATCCCAAGGGTCTCTTCCAACCTAGACCATTCTATGATTCTATGATCCCCTCGCCCCTTCCTCCATCCCTGTTGGGACCAACGGGGCCTCCCGAGCCCGTCTCACCGGTGGCGTGGGACTCCCCACCATCCAGCAGCCCTCAAAGCCTGCTTTCCCTCAAGCCTGCCTTTCATTATAAAATGAAAAACCTGCTGCAGCTTTTTTACAGCAGAGCAATATTGCAATTGTGAGCGGCAGCAATTGAGGCCATTACTGTCGAATGCCACGGGGCGCCGGTGGCACACACTACCCATTACCGCCCGGGGAGCCCCAGAGAACAAGCGTGGGATGGCAAACGCTCCTGCCACCACCAAGCCCCTTTTCTCCTCCGCTTGTTTAGATCGGTTACCACCTGAAAAACATGACAACCGAGCTCGCGGAAAAACCACGCCGGGGGAACAAGCCCCCACAATAAATAACCAGAAAAAACACAAGCAGGGAGTTGAGAGGGAGAGCCCCAACCTCAGTGTTTCCCTGCCTGACGCGATGCGGTCAGTCCAGGTCCGCCACCTGGACACGTTCCTGTGGAACCTCCTCTAGAATCACAGAATCTTCTAGGTTGGAAGGGACCTTAAAGATCATCTTGTCCAACCATCAACCTAACTGACAAAAATAGACACCCACACAACAAACAAGGAGCATCATCACTAAACCAGACCTCCCAGCACGACATCAACCCGGCTTTTGAACACCTCCAGGGATGGTGCCTCAACCACCTCCCTGGGCAGCCCATTCCAATGCCTGATGACCCTTTCAGTGAAAAAATTGTTCCTAATATCCAGCCTGAACCTCCCCTGGTGTAACTTGAGGCCATTTCCTCTTGTCCTGTCGCCTGTGACTTGAGAGAAGAGACCGACCCCCACCTCTCTACACCCTCCTTTCAGGTAGAAGGACCTGCTTTGGCAGGGGGGTTGGACGAGATGATCTCCAGAGGTCCCTTCCAACCCTGTAGCGTTTTCTGTGATTCTGTGAGAGCGTACCAGCAGCAGTGGTGGGAAGATGCCCACCTCATGGCAAAGGTGGACACCCACCTAGTCAAAACCCATGCATATCCAAGGTGGACACTGGTCCCCAGCTGAGCAGTGGTAGCCTGAGCATCCTGGGTATCTGCTTCCTTCTTGCCCCCATCCTACCAGCACACGTGGGATGCTCTTGGCCTTTTGCTGAGGATGGCTGCACCCTCATCACATCACCCTGAACCTCCTGGTGTCACACCAGGACAACAGGGGCTGCCTTGGAGCCGGGAATTATCATTCCCGGCCCCATCCCTCGGGGTCAGGCCCCGCTGCCCACACTCACACTGCACTGTCAGGTAGGCAGAGGCTGACGGGGAGCGGCCCAGGCTGTTGCTGGGGATACAGGTGTATTTTCCAGCATCCTCTGGCTTCACCCGGAAAATGATCAGCGTCCCGTCGATCAGGATCCGCACTCTCAACTTCAGGTCGCTGCGAGAGAAGAGAGGAGGAGGAGGAGGATTACGGGGGAGGATCCAGGGCAGCACCTGCCCCAGCACGACCCGGGAGGAAGGTGAGGAAGACTGGCTGCCCTGCCAGCTCCAAACTCACTTCTTGAAGTAGACGTTCTCCTCCTCCCAGTACCACAGGTAGGTGAGGTTCCCGGGGTACGCCTCGGCCTGGCAGGTGAAGAGCGCATCCTGGGAGATGTTGACCGTGATGTTCTCCGGTGGGGAAACGATGAAGGGAGGTCCTGGAGGAAACGGAGAGAAAAGTGTCACCTCCACCAGCACCGGTGTCCCCAAAAAAGGTTCTTCAGGCTCAGCTCCACCACTGGGAGCTGCTGGTGGGCGCTGGGGCAGAGCTAGGCCAAATCCCTCAGGATCACGGGGTGCAGGGGTTGCCCTCAAGGAGCATGTTGGCCCCAACCCAATCTCTTAATCCCATCCCATTTTCCATGGCTCACGCTTCCCTTCACCCCCGGTGCTTCTCCAGGATCACAGAATCACAGAATCTTCTAGGTTGGAAGGGACCTTAAAGATCATCTTGTCCAACCGTCAACCTGACTGACAAAAATAGACACCCACACAACAAACAAGGAGCATCACCATCACTAAACCATACCTCCCAGCACTTCATCAACCTGTCTTTTGAACACCTCCAGGGATGGTGCCTCAACCACTTCCCCGGGCAGCCCATTCCAATGCCTGATAACCCTTTCAGTGAAAAAATTTTTCCTAATATCCAGGATATTTTTCCTAATATCCAGATCGCATCGCCCACGGGACAAAACCCAGGGGGAAAAGAGCAAACTGCCAGGAGCTGGCAGCCAGCGTCCACAGCTCGCCACCACGGCGAGAGGAGAGCAAGGAGGACACCCCACGCTCCTCTCTCCGCCGGTAGCTGTTGACCTAATTAAAGATTTATTTAATAAAAGAGGGAGCGAGGAGCGGGAGGGCCTGCCATGCATCACCGCTATCTGACAAGGCGCTTTGTGACAGCCCCAGCCTTTTTCCCTCCCAAACAAAACCCAGCTGCTCGTCAGCATGGCCACCACCGTGCCCCAATTAAATAAATTCCTCCATCCTACAAACGGGACGCGGAGCCATGGGGGCAGCTGGCACGAGGCCGAGCCCACGGGGCTTGTGGTGGCTCCAGGGTGGCACCATACCCTGTGGTCCAGGGAATTCCACCCAGGGAACCCCGTCCTGATTTTTCCTGGAGAAGCTGGAGGGTGGAAGATCTCACCTTGAACGAGCAGGCGCGTGGTGTGCACAGCCTCCCCCTGGATGCTGTACGCCCGGCAGGTGTAGGCACCCCTGTCCTCTCGGGTGATGGAGAGCACCGTCAGGCTCCCATCGCTCACCTGGGGACGACAAGGGAAGACCCCCTGGAGCACGGGCAGGGGCCCCCCCCCCCCAGGGTTGGGGGGATGCCCCCCAGCCCGGGCTCAGCATCCTCCCTCCGTCCCTCCCCGCGGCGGAGAGCTGCCGGATGAGAAACGGGTTTCCCCGCTCGGCAAGACTTGGGATATTAATAAACCAACACACGCCTCTCTGCTTGACGCCAAAGGGAAGGGAAAAAAAATAAATAAAGAAAAAAATAAAAAGAATAAGAAAAAAAAAAAAAAAAGAAATAAATAACCATCACAACATATTCCTCGCCTGCAGGAGCGATGGGCAGGAGGCAGGCTCCAAATCCCGCTTCCCGATGATGCCTCGCCGGAGCACCCCCTCCTCCTCCTGAGGGACCCCTGGGGTGGGCTACGAGGTGGGCTACCACCCTGGCTCGGCCACCATCCTCCCCGCTGCACGAGGAGCAGCCAAAATCCTCCCCCGGGGGGGGACACAGCGGAGAAAGGAAGGACAGCAAGGGA